TCCCCAACGTGCTCTGCAGTGTAATTAGCAGCCCCGAGGAATGGGCACCGAGTAAAAATCTACTCTCTCTCTCTCTCTCTCTCTCTCTAGGAACTCTCACAAACACACCGACACCCTACGCTACCCTACACCTCCCCTTCTCTCTCTCCAAAGAAACTCTCACAAACTCAACCTCAAACACGAACTCTTCTACTCTGCTTACCAGTTTACCAAAGCTGTTCTCAAGAGTGAGTGAGATTCGATCTATCCTCTCCTATCCTCTGTTCAGAAATTTATAAGAATGAGGATGAGGATTCTGTTCTGCAAACAGCAAGGCGACTATCTGTTCACTCGTCAGTCAGTCTATGTGTTCTATGTCATATCACTAAAGGCCGCCCCTCTCTCTCTCTCTCTCTCTCTCTCTCTCTCTCTAAAAAAACTCTCACAAACTCTTCTCGGCCTACCAGCTTATCCAAAGCTGCCCTCACGAGTGAGATTCGATATATCCTCTCCTATCCTCTGTTCAGAAATTTATAAGAAGGAGGATGGGGATTCTGTTCGGCAAACAGCAAGGCAACTATCTGTTCACTCGTCAGTCAGTCTATGTGTTCTATGTCATGTCACTAAAGGCCGCCCCGTGTGGATGTGAAAGTGTTTTTATCTGGATTTGACAACTCTCAATCAAGTAGCGGACAGTGAAGGTACTTGAGTTTTACGTTTGTAGTAACCAACTTGGACATTATTGAAGATTGAACACAAAGCTGCAAACAATAGCGTACTGACGCAGGATGTATTTCAGGAGATGGAAGTCTCCACGTGAATCCTAAGGACTGTAACCACTCCTTGACATGCATCGGCCGTGTATGGCATTGAACACATGAGCATGCCAAAACACTAGGTACATACTTAATCCAGTGTATGTTAAATTTCAGATTCGAATGACGGACATTACGATTATTGAATCAAATCATACTTATTATTCCCTGCATTTATGGGTGAGGTAAATGTCAAAGTCGGGGAGACTCATTGTCACTTCAACTACTCGGTAACATTCACGGTGTCCTTGACAACTCATGAAGATGCTGGTGTACTCCAACAGCATTTTCAGAGGCAAAGTTATGAATATCAGAATTTGTTCGATCAAGTCGATGTTTGCTCTGCAAGCTAGATATGAAGCGGCTAGATATTGCTCATGCATCGGCCGTGTATGGCATTGAACACATGAGCATGCCAAAACACTAGGTACATACTTAATCCAGTGTATGTTAAATTTCAGATTCGAATGACGGACATTACGATTATTGAATCAAATCATACTTATTATTCCCTGCATTTATGGGTGAGGTAAATGTCAAAGTCGGGGAGACTCATTGTCACTTCAACTACTCGGTAACATTCACGGTGTCCTTGACAACTCATGAAGATGCTGGTGTACTCCAACAGCATTTTCAGAGGCAAAGTTATGAATATCAGAATTTGTTCGATCAAGTCGATGTTTGCTCTGCAAGCTAGATATGAAGCGGCTAGATATTGCTCAGCTGATGCTATCATGCAGCTCAAGCCGAGGGCACAATACCACAGTACAGAAGTACGCTATTTAGATATCGTATCGGTATCTCTTTTTCAATCGGCTGTCTATATCATCGAAAAATTTATGCGAGTCCTCTCTAATCAACTGAAGCCGTTCGTGTACGAGCATCAGATGTCAAGGACACACAAGTGCTTGCATTTTTCCACCCGGTTAAAGATTCGATTTAGGGTTACCGAAATTGAAGCCTCAGAATCTTCCCACTGTCAAATTATTCCTCGTTTCAGGGGATTGACAAACCCTGTACCTGTCCTTCGCTTTTAATTATTCCGAATTAAAATCCTAGGCATGAATGTGCCATGCCATTCAGGCTTTCAGACGTTGTTAAGTTATTTCCCCGAATTTCTCTTATTACAACTGCAATTCAACGTGTTGAGGTCGAAACGTGGATCATAATCGTCAGGCCGACAGTCTCAAAACCCCAGAGCAATCTATACTGATAATGATTCGCACTGTCCTGGGAAGATGATCATCCCGAACATCCTGGGGAGGATCAAAGGGCAACAATTTACTAAAACCTAAGCTACTTCTCCAACTGAAACAGACTTTCGTTGGTCAGGCTGACAACGAAGAGGACGAGGCAACGCGGCACGGTAGCTCTCTCAGCACCATTTGATCCCTCTCCAGGAGAAAGTTCTCCTGGACTCCACGGAAAGCAATGGACCGAGGAAATGGATTGGCCGGCTCTTAGCTCCGCGTCAGATGATGAAGCTGCTCGCTCCTGCCTAGAAAACGAAGAGAAAGCATGATGCAGAAAGAGCCTGTCCCTGCCACGATCGATGAGTGCACGAGGGGTACGAATGGTGGTCCGGAATCCTGCTGTGGTCCTGGTCAAATGTGCTCCCAAAGTCTCTCACCTGCTGCATCCACGACTTGTCCAGTACAGTTCTGTGGCTTGACTTTTCGGTACCTGACGTGGTAGAATTATCACTTGGTGGTCTTTCACTCCGTTCTTGTAGTCACAGTTACAGTAACAGTTCGAGTTTTGGCATTTGATTTCCGTCTGCGCTTTCTCTGTAGGACTTGCCGTCGATGCAAACAGGCCCGAAGGTCGGGAACAAACAGGCCATGAATCTCCTTCCACGTCGGCACACAACGGAGCCCAGTGGCATCTGAAACATTGGGGAAAATCTATGACTCGATAATAGGCGAGGAGGCGACACTTTTTACATTAGAGTATGGCATATTTTATATAGCACTTATTGGATCTCTTTTAACATAGAGTGAAGTAGTAACTCTTTTCTAAATTATGTGATAGTAATCATCTTAATTGATGCATGGGACATCTTTCTAATAGATAGATAATTTGACTTAGATGGGTATATTTTTGTAATAGGTTATTGTATGGTATGTTTCATTCAATACTTGTATAATGTTCTACGTAAATTGATATATTCAAACATCATTAGCTTCAATGATCGATAGGAAATTGATAATAATATTGCATGATATTTATTTTCTCTGCAAACGTATGACGTTGATGTTGCATTCTTTTCTCTTATTATTATCATCCAACTAAATCAACATTTAACTGATTTGCAATCAAGCAAAGTATATAGATAGTATAATAGATACATCTCATTCTCTCTACTTACTTAATCTTATTTCTTTTGATTAGTTTTCTATTCAACTTCCAAATTAAGTGTCCCCAACTAGCAAATTGTGATACATAATATTCTCAAGTTGTAAATGAAAACAGAAATATAATCAGATCAGAAGACCTCATCACATATCACACATAATCATGAACGAGATGATCTATTAATCATATACATAGATAGAAATTTCAGTAACGAAATATATTTTAAGGTACAAATGAATCAAGCATCTCTAGAAAATCATTTATTTGTTTTTCATGTCAAATTCACTTTGATCCTATATGTTTTTTGATAAAATAATAATAATGATTTAGACTGTTCCACATGCCTAGCATTTGGATCGTGCTCTCTTTCCAACAGTACTAAATGATTTATTCATAAGGTCTAAAATAATATCTATTATAATTTTACTCTGAGTTCCACAAATTGATACAATAAAGGGATGTGAGTAATTTTATTTTACTCTACGGCTTTGAATAAAAAATTTTTAATTTAAATTTAAAATAGGGAATCATTTTTATATCACAGTCTTTGGAAATGATTCACATCATCATAATATTTAAAGGTTGTGTTGCAATGCTAGATAATGTTTATCGGTTTAATCAAAAAATGTACATAACTTGTGTACTGGATAGTATTGTATGTCATAAAGTGTATTGTGATTCTATTGGAGCCTTGCCACACCTACTCCTTGGTTTCATCTATGCACTACTATTATTCCATAACTTGTTGTATACTGAAGGTCAAGCTAAAGATCAAGAAGATCACTTTTGCAGAATATTGAACAATGACAGAGTTAACCTCATGCATTATCTGAAAAGTATAAATGTTGCATGAGAGGAAAACTACTTGACAAAAAGAATAATGAATGCTGATCAACGCACTTGAAGATGTTAAGAAAATTAAGGAAGGATTCAAAATTACCAAAGGCTTGATGTATCAAAAGTATGAGTAAAGTCTCATCAATTCCAGAAGAAACCGCCCGGCCAAGTATTGATGTTGATAGATGGTGACATTTTATTCGTTCTTGCCGTTGAACAATGTTCAAGAATATATAAGAAAGAGTAGATATTCAGACTTCTGCAGCAAGCGATAGCGAATCACGCTAGACTAGATAATGTGATAAAAATCATATTTGCTTTAACTATGCTTATGCTTCCTTTTTAAAAAAAAAGTAAAACGTAAAGCAAACCAACCTTCAATGTTACGGTTAGAGTACAATAGACCTACGACATAATGGGGTACAATAACCTCGTCGCAATCGACTTCTGAAAAGCACTGTAATAACACTATAAAAGCACGCGAAACTAACCACCTGTTCATTTCTTATATTAGAAAACGCTTTACAACATGAATATGCTTGAGGATTCTGAAAGAAGAATGTAGCACTCGTCAAAGTGAGCACTAGCTATGAGCTTGTTCGCTCAACTTCTAACAAATACAGTCAGCGGTGTAGGAAGATACTATGGCGCATGATGAATAAAACGAGAGGAGGATAACATCTTGGACTACCATGAAAAGATTCAATCCATCAAGAATTCGATTTTTTCGGCGGTGCATATCGTGACGAATATAGCTTTCTTGTTTTGCAATTTTCGTATCCGACCGAATATTTTCATGGGCCACCGAGCGCGGAATATTTCGGATTTTATCGGCAGAAGCCAAATATGACTCTGCCCGCCGGCTCCTGAAAAGCGAAGGAAATTATTTTTGGAAGGTTACCAAATATATTATTGGAATTCCAAATGTTTTTGAATTGTTTGCTTTCTGAAGCCCGCGCGGCCCGTGTCGATAAGCCGTGTCCGGCACTGCGAAAGGGACAGCATTCGGCCGTGCCCGACCAGTGGGTGGGAGCAGGCACCGGGGCATTCGGGAATCGCGGGTCGCCCAGCCTAGCCGTCGTCAGAGGACGCGCAGAGCTTCCGGAAAATCGCGGGCCAATTCGCAGAGAACCCGCTTTCGAATACGTGGCCCGCATCGTCGAGTGCAGAAGTGCTGTGAAGGTGGACTTCGCAGTGAGGGAGGATGGGATGGATCGGCGCCGAACACTTGGAAGATCGGACGGCCGGAAACGCGATCAATGTCTGCCCTAGAGCAATTTGTGTACACTTCAGTGTCAAGGATCCCTCCCTTTGAAGATCGAGGTAGCTCCGCTGGTCCCTCCTCGTCAGGCAGTCTGAGGAGCACAGTCTCTTTTCGGATCGGAATCGATCTTCGAGTGCAGATTTTGGATTGTGAGGTCAATTACTTGAGCACCCGCTCGTGAGCTCGACGGTGTTGGTCGGTTGACGTCCTGCGGTGGTATATCGGTCGTTTTCTCGGGAGAATTGCGTCGCGTCGCAGCGGTGTGTCTGTGCTTGTTGTAAGTGTTCAAGCTTTTTAGAAGCCTTTCGTCTTCCTCGTCAAAAGAGTTGGTAGTCTGCAAACATGCCGAAGAACAAGGGAAAGGGAGGAAAGAATCGCAAGAGAGGAAAGAACGAGGCCGAGGACGAGAAGCGAGAGCTGGTTTTTAAGGAAGATGGACAGGAGTACGCGCAGGTCCTGCGTATGTTGGGAAACGGGCGTTGTGAAGCTCTCTGCATAGACGGTACCAAGCGGTTGTGTCATATCCGAGGAAAGATGCACAAAAAAGTTTGGATTGCTTCCGGTGATATCATTTTGGTCGGTCTACGAGACTACCAAGACGATAAGGCTGATGTTATTCTTAAGTACCAACCCGACGAGGCTAGGTTATTGAAGGCTTATGGTGAGCTGCCTGACAACGTCCGTCTCAACGAGGGTATTGCGGGTGGTATGGACGACGACGAGGATGGCGAGGGCGATGACTACATCGAGTTCGAGGACGAGGATATCGACAGGATATAGACGTCTCACACATCGGATCTCGCTGTCCAAAAGCCGAGTGAACCTCTGCACAATACTTGGACGGAGATTTCCTGTGTTTATATGGTATGTACGCGCTCAGCTGAAATCTCTGCCACATCAAGCGCTACTTATTAGCAGCGAGCCCCCTGATTCTTGGTGTGGAGGCTGCAGTGATCTTGACATAAGCACGCAACTTGTTGAACATCAAGTTGATGTTCGTCCCTTGTGGTGACAGGCACCCCATTTGTTGACTTATGGGGTTTTTTCTTTCTGTAAATCATATATTAGAGTGCTTCATGTTCCTCGGTGCCGAATGGCCTTCTTAGCTTGCTGCGAAGTTGGGCTTGCCGTGACAGGGGCTGTGGTATTGATGACTATGTACGAGTTTTAGATTAAATTGGGTAACCGAGCTGCAATGGCCGTCTTTCCACGACAACGTTGCTTGTATCTTTACCTACCTTGAAGTGGAAATTCTGGCTCCCATGAGTATTTTTGCGATTAGGGTTTGGATTCTTTCCTTTGCAGATGATGCAATACGATGAAGCTTTCTAGTCGTTCTCGATTTTCTGCATCGGATGTTGGTCAGCCTTCTAGCGAGGGACCGCATCTTGGTTGTCTTCTTGTCATACTGACCTACTCATATATACTTCACTTGCGATTGATTATTATCAATCGCAAGTGATTTCCCTTCGAAGTATATATGAGCTTTTGAGGACGAGAGGATCTGCCCCCTGCTTACTGTCATCGCAGATTGTTTAGCGTGTTTAGATTGTGCCATGTTGCCCTTGGGCTAAGCGGTCAGGATTTCCCATCTCATCCTCCTTGTCATTCGATGCGAAATTCCTTGCGGACAGCGGCTTAGTGGTACAGTTTGGTCAGATGGGGTCGTAGTTCGGTGGTTGGTCAAAACTTTCTAGCACACAGACTAGGGCTTCAATTCGTCCAAGTTGGTTACTACAAACGTAAAACTCAAGTACCTTCACTGTCCGCTACTTGATTGAGAGTTGTCAAATCCAGATAAAAACACTTTCACATCCACACGGGGCGGCCTTTAGTGACATGACATAGAACACATAGACTTACTGACGAGTGAACAGATAGTCGCCTTGCTGTTTGCAGAACAGAATCCTCATCCTCATTCTTATAAATTTCTGAACAGAGGATAGGAGAGGATAGATCGAATCTCACTCACTCTTGAGAACAGCTTTGGTAAACTGGTAAGCAGAGTAGAAGAGTTCGTGTTTGAGGTTGAGTTTGTGAGAGTTTCTTTGGAGAGAGAGAAGGGGAGGTGTAGGGTAGCGTAGGGTGTCGGTGTGTTTGTGAGAGTTCCTAGAGAGAGAATAGATTTTTACTCGGTGCCCATTCCTCGGGGCTGCCAACCAGTTTGTCAACTACATGAAGCTGAGGTTAGTATTAACTACAGCAGACCTTTTAGTCGATGAAAGTATCTCCATCAAACCACTTTCAGTCAGAGGCGGAAAAGTTATCGTCGTCAATGTAAATGCACTGAAGTAATATCCAGTATGGTGAAATAGAGTACGGAGTGAAGTCATTGTCAATCCGCTGTAACATATGTCAGTCGTCATCTTCAGTTTGTTTTTGAGACTAATTGTCTCCTGTCTGTACACTAATTTTGAAAGTAGCTAAAGAAAAGTTCTACATTAAATTCTGCTCACTTCGTAAAACTCACGTCCGGGAATATTAGAACTAAAGATTCTGGTATGGAATAAGAAAAATTGAAATATGTGGTAAAGTTAAAATTCAAGTAAAAAACAAATTAATATATCTAAGATTGTTTATCTATTTTACATACTAACACGAACAGTTGTATTTTTATCAATTGTATTTGTAGTTTAACAAAATATATTAGCGTATACAACAAAATATAAGGTTTTTGATAAGTTAAACTTCAGAGTCACCTATAGTGTAATATACAACTTTACACTATATAAATACATATGGAAGTGAATAATCACCGCAAGCTTCAAATCTTTAACTATATGCCATGATGTAAACAAGTAGATTCAATAGAAGTGTTAAAAGTTTGGACACTTGAATAAGTTAATGATGCAATGCTTCTTACCATAACCTTTATATGTGCAGGTTATCATTGTTATTGGCTATGTTCAAAACGTGTTTCTCTGTTAGTTATTTATAAATATATGTATTATTGATTATATCGGTTACCATTGACATTCTCTTCTCAAGAAAATTATTATTCTACCTCATATATGCATGCATTCCCTAACTCAAGAGCAGGCAAGTTTGATCGGGATCTCAGGACTGTTAGTTTTAGAGAATGACATCCTTTATACTTAGAAGTTTATCTAGGAGGATTGAGAGTCAAAAGTACTTTCACACTCAATTATAAATCAAAATGAAAGAGATTTGTTTGATGGGACTCATGCAGAAAGTAATTTGCTTGATGGGAACCTCAGGACGGGACCCCAACGACTGTGTGTCGTAGACCATAGTTCTTGTAACTATAATTGATAAGTTACAATTCGGGGATCTTTGATTAATCAGGGATCAATACTTCTTTATAATTTCTGGTGTATTATCACGGGACAAAGATCAATTTTGCCCAAATTGCAATTTGTTGTGATTCAAATCTCCCGATCGCACCGATTCGCGAATTTGTCTGCTGCCCCGCCTTCACCCTCTTTCCATAACCCTGCATATGCAACGAGTAGCTCGTACCGGAAAGTGGTCCGAACTCAAGTCTCGCGGTCACCCATTTGTGGTGAACAAATAAATTACGGAAGAGTATTTCTTTGCGGATATATACTGACAAAATAAAAACAAGTGAGTGTAATGGAGGGCGAAGTACACTTTTTCCGCAGGTGTGTTTGATTTGTTATACTTTTTCTTTTAAACTCAAGTTGTTATTAGAACATGGTTGACAATGCATCTTTCATGGAGTCCATCGGGTAAAACGAAACCTGAAAGTTACCATCAAGCAAATATCTCATCAAAATGAACAACTACAAAATCATACACAAGGATGGATTTGTTTTCTAGCTTGTGTTTATTTTCTTATTTAAGGAGTCCTTGAATTCAATTACACTAACATGTACCGTGACAATCAACAAATGCCAGGATGATTGGTCGGATTGCAAATCGTCGAAATTGAACCTTGAACAAATGTAAAAGCTGGGTTGACGAGAGTGCATATGGATGACATCCAAATCTCTATATTTGCATGTCATATGTTTTTTCCTCTCCTTACATCACGATAGCTTCAAGTTCATTCTTCAATTTAAAATTGTACTGAAAGTTCATCGTCTCATGCAACCACAAGTTGTACTAAGTGTTTTGGGCGGAAAGTGTTTATGTCGTTTGCTACTTGGTACGGAAACGATGAATTTTCACACCATTGTGTACTTGCAGTCGTGGAGATAGACGGTTGGCAAGTGAGAATCTCACAGATCTCATAGACGGTATTCATATTCCAGGAAATGACATGTAATACAGATGGTATTTTCATTATAAAAATATACCTAATTTTTTTAATGATAAGTAATGATTCAAAAGTGAAAGTTTCATAAATATTTGTCTTATTCACATAAGATTCTATTGATAAGATTCTAAAGATATATACAGAATGTTGGTATAGGTGAATACTGATGAACTACGATGTTTTGCATATGCATGTGAATTATTCAAACATTAAATAATAAATTCTGTCTAAAAACATTAACATATCGATGAAAATATATAGTTTCATTGATTGAATCATTGATATGATTTCTCGGTTTTTAATTGGAGTTTTATTTTATTTTATTCTAGAGTACAATTTATAATTTTGTTCAGTTTTTCGGTAGACTAGAAGAGGTAGAGGTATGTTAAATAAAGAGAATGTCGACAACTTTGTATCATCTCAGAGTTGTCAGATTGCTTAGATGCAAACTTAAGTGACCCATCGATCCGAGTTTATTTTTCTAGTTAAGAACGAAACTATCATCAAATTTTCTAAAATAATTGCATTTTTTCAATAAGTGCATGTGGGTGGTAACCAATAAGATTACACTGGACTCGAAAATTGTTAGCTTCATTATTTTGATTCTTCTCATCATTTATTTATTGAGAGAAGAAAGTGCCATTAACAGAGCATCACATCGAATAAATATCACCTTCAAAAAAGAATTGCATACTAGTAGCAATTAAATTTTCTCGGGCTTTTTCACCAGAATCTCAACATATATATTACAAATATATTTGTATGTATAATACAAATCTTCCTCTCTATAAAATACACTTAATTGCTGGCAAGTGACACAAGAATAGGCTCAATACGCTTGTGTGTTACTAAAGCAAAGTGTGATTTGATGCCTGCAGACGAATTCACGCACGATTGCAAGGTGCCTGAGTAATCTGCATGGATTTTGATCAGACGCCGCTTCCATGCAAAGCTCATGACGTACAAAATCATTCCTCGTCGGAACATTCCGTTTGGCATATTGGCTGGAAGGCGGTCTGGCCTCGCACGCCTAAGAGCGGAAATTTGCCGGAGCGCTCGGAGGACTACGACGACGATGAAGGTGCGGGCGCTGAGACGGTGCTCGGCCCAGTAGAGCGGCGACTTCCTTCCCATGTTGGCGAGCGCGACGGGGATCCGTGCCGATCGCCGTGAGATGGAGGCCGACGAGAAGAGTGCGATGAAACAGCTCGTCGTGTCAGCTTTGGCTTATTACGGGTTGAAGGTGTACCACGTTTTCGACGGGCTGCGATTCAGACCGAGTTTTCAGCTGATCGAAATTGACCAGCGGAAGGCGGTGGAAGAATTTGGAGCGGCCGTGCAGGCCGATGAGAACGGGGTTTTGGACGAATTTGCTCGAGAATTTTGTTGGACCGATCGTGTCGCAATTCCCGAGTCTAGCGGGACCGAGCGGCAGCCCGAGTTCGTTCCGGAGCCTATCTTGACCCAATTGCCTCAAGAAATGGCACTGCAGGGACATTGGATTAGCAGGAATGCCTGGCCGCAGTTTTGGCATGTGTTCTCCACTTTCACCAAGGACGACTTGGGGCACTACGTGGCACCACGTCATGAACAAGGGGTGGGCCCTCGTGTAGAAGAAGCGGAGGCGAACTTTGGGCTACACCATGAAGGAAGAGTGAAGGTATCGCGGTGACCTCTTCCACTTACTGCTCACAATGCCTCTCAGAAAGTACCAACCCTAGTTGTGACGTTCTTGTGCGTGAACTCCATTGTTCTATAACCGGTTGTCCTGTTCATGAACGTCAGCTGGTTTGAGTTTAATGTTAATCTTGAATTTTAGTTCTCTGAATCAAGATAATGAAACATGAAGGCAGTGGGTCAAATGTGTATTTTGTACTTGCGCAGTGCGGGAAGTGATCCTGTTTACTTGAAGAATGATACCCTGTATGGGATGGAGCCTTAGGCTCAGCACTGCGGTCCCGTCTAAAAGATCTTTCACATTGAAGCTTCGAAGTGATAATGAGTTACTTTACGAAGAATATGGGACTTTCCTTCAATGTTTTTACAAAAACAATTTTTTTTGAAACTTTAAACTTGAAACATTTCATTTTGTCCAAAGAAGGAAGTCTGGAATTCTGCATATACTGTAAGTGATTACAAGTCCTGGCTACAATGTTTGGGTTTGTGGTTTTCCTGTGCTGTCGGTATCTTAAGCTTGAGTACGTAGTTCGATCAAATCCCTTCGTCCTATGCTTCCCACACCCCCATTCTGTGGCTTACAGAAACAACGAACTGAATACTACTGTTTTGTTTCGTTTAGTCCAGGACTGAGGCCCCCATTGCCTTCTGTTTAGCAACTATCCCCCTGTGTACTCACTTGCCCTCATCCTTGATTGCTCTCTCCAGGCTTTCTAAAGTTATAAGTCCATTTCAAGCTTAGACCGTGCTGTTCTAATTTACAACAGTTCTGGGCAACAGCTAGGAAAGCTCTTCATTGTCTGTCAGGTTTGGAGTTATCCTCAACCCCCACGTGCGGTCAATTGTTAAGCCTTGTGAACTCGGTACCCACTTTGTTTATGACAATGCGCTTGCAGTCGTTGTTTCAACCATATTCCCTTGTCTGCTTCTTACATCTCCCTTTCATACAAATCGCATGTCCCTGCTTTTGGTGCTGTACTTCTGTTGTTATTTGAATATCTCGATTCCTTCAGCAGGATGATATGCCAGTCTTTTGTTCTATTCTTTTTTGCTTGTCGGTTTCAACGTCATCAACTTCTGCCAGAGGTAGAGCCCTGGTCTGTACTATTCGGTCCTATCGCGTGTTAAGCCTTTGTGTTTCATTACGTGTTGTTATTTTGTTTTTTTGCCTAGTGCAATTGTTTCTCATCAAACGTGCTGCGAAATCTCACACCTTTCCTTTCTCCAGGAATGTTTTCCTCAAGTCTTCAGGTACGCTTTGTAAGAATACAAGGGGAATGAGAACCACGAACCTTCACTTTAATTCGACCTCTTACGAACTGACCTGGACCTTTGAGTTTAGTAAATACTGCCATGGAATCAAACTCCCTAGTGTCCTTTCACGTATACTTAGTCCTTATACCATGACCACGTTTGAGTGCACGAAAGTGCCTCACGTGAAAAGCCCAATCGGGCTGTGGCCAGGAATTTGTGGACTGAAATTTTGTACCTGACTTCTGCAGAGAGAACATACTCCCATTGAGGACGAAGAAACTTGTTTACGAAACCTGGAGCAGTACATGGCCTCTAATTGTCCTCCTGCCAACGACGGAGCTTCTAGGATTTATCAACCTACCAGCGACTTTACACCAGTCCCCTATCAGACAGATGGGCGCCATGATCCTATTCACAAACTGTCTTCGGTACATCACGTAGAAATTCAAACCCACAAGCTCCACTTCCTTTGATGTGATGTTTCTTATCAACAAATGTATCAGATTTGATCAGATGATAATACACATTTGCAAGGGTCTCTTCTGGGAATAGACAAAACTTCATCACATCTGCATGTATTCTAATTTTGTTGGTTTTCTTTGTTCGATTTTCCTCTTTGTCTACCGTCTAAACCTTCACTGTATTCTGATCGAGTGCACCCCACTTTTCACTTTGCTCTATGCCTAAGTCCAGGGTCTCCGTACATCCTCCTAAACTACCTCAGCAGGCATGCCTACACTTTTTCCTCGTATTTTGCATTGCGTTCGATGTTCGCCTTTCGTTGTTGTTCATTTGATAACCTCTTTCCCCTGTACTGTTCACTGATGGAATGTTTGCTATCTGTCTTTCGTGGATTTTTACTTCCATCTACGACGAAGTCAAAAAGAGTATTCATAGCTATATCTCGTTATGGTCTCCCTTATTCAATATGACCTGTGTATTTTATACTTGCAGTCTTGGATACCTTGACATCTACATCTGTTTCTATACAAAGTATGTGCACCGACGAACCTGTATACTCTTGTCCATCCGTGAGAGCTCATTTCTTGTGGAGTATATTGAGTACCGGCCTTGTTATTATACTTTTCTATATGTCATTGTGTGTAAACGGACAAGGCTCCGCCATCGTATCTTGCGCAAGTGAGAAGGCTTGTATTGATCTACCGAACATTTAAGTCGTAAAAAATGTTACAAACTTTCACTACTCTCCATTTTAAGAAATACATGTGTATCTCTGAACTGCTTCCTTACATTCTGCAGGAGGATAACGGAACGTACTCATGTAAACGTGCGAGAGTGCAGTTGAATGGAGGAGAACTCGAGAAGGTGCGGAGGAAAGTATATATTTGTGTTTGGTGCTGTCTTACTCCATGTCCGTGTGTGATCGCTTTGAAATGGTTTTGACATCTGGTAACGACATCGGTCCTTCAAACTTTCGAGGCGTGCATTTTGTTGGATGTCCCGTCTTCCACGTCTAACGACTTGTTTCAGTTATGTCCATTGCGTCTAAATAGGTTTGGCGATAAGCTTCAGGAACTTTTATACTTGACTCTGCAGATTGAAAGAATCCATGGCCCCGTCAAGAATGTCGAGCATTATAGTGGTCCAGCCCATGAAAACGATGGGATCCCCACGAAGGAGGTATCGCAGCCTCCATGCGTCCCCAAAGTTGACGAGATTTTTCTCAAAGAGGAGATGCCCATGGTTAGGCCTGTTGATGTTGCGCCATTATCATGGCGGGAGGAGCTGGCCATCTCTAGGCCGGACCTCTATTCAGAATTTCTGGAGAATTTAAACTCGAAAACCTTCAGTGAGAGAGAAAACAATCTTCCTGTTGACTGTGGACTTGGATCCGTCCATTCACACCCCTTGGTTGATGTGGAGATGGAAGATGTTCAGGAAGAATCACATCATATCACTGCATATGGTGCAGTGCATGAACAAAGTTTCTTTGTTAAGAACATTGAGAGGCAACGGAAAAGAGCTCGCGGCACAGATGACAAAGCTAGTGGACGGACTATTATGAACGACTCGAGCTCGGGATCAATCGAACAAGGAAAATTTCGGCTAAAGCGATCGATTCGCTCTACTATGCTGAATGGGAAAGATACATCTGCTGTAAACCGGAAACCTAATTCTTCTGAACCTGAGATACTAAATTGTTCTGGAGTTCACCAGGATGAAAGGGCAGTGTCTGATGTAGGTTCATGTCCTAGCTTGAACAAGGCAGCTAACAATGGAGATGAATGTCAATCTCCACGGAAGCCGAACGTAGCTTCTTGGCCGGCTCCTCTATATGCAAACAATTCTGAACATCGCTCCGAACATAAAACTCGTGTAAATTCGACTATACCCAACTCGGTGAAAGAAGAGGACGAGGGAAACTGTGAACATCAAGTAACAGGTGACGAGTACGATATATGTTTAACTTGCAGAAGAAAGAAAGAGATCTCTTTTTCCAAGTACGCAAGACTTTTCAAGGATGACCCTGCATGGAAGAAAAAGTTTTTGGATGGAGAGAACTTGGTTTGCGACATCTGCTACTCTAAAGGGTAATTCCTTTTGGGTTACTTGGGTTCCACTCTCTGTTGCAAAATCAAAAGCACTCATGTGCTCTCCAGAATTTGTCTTAAAATGTGTGATATGCACCAAGTCACGTTTTCCCCAGCTTGTGATATACTTGAAGGAATGACTTGATCATGTTGGCAGTCAAGTGAAGTCGAGGACGGGGGGCAGACGGCCAGAACTTACTCTATTTTAGCATCATTTGGGAACCATTTGTAAGCCAGGGGCCATCTATTGTTACCTTTGGTAGAATTTTAGAGAGTTCTTGACGAGGTAATTCGCAACAGTCTTATGTTTGTATAAATTTGTTCATTCTTAAGCGTCTTGGGAATGTCACATTCTTTCAGAAAAAATACGAAGTTTTCAAGCATGCCGTTATTGCTGAGTCATGCTCTGAAAGAGACAGATTTCAGACCACCAGAGCATCGAGGATATGCAAAAGCTATTGACGATCTCATTGAGGCGAACCAGCCAGGGAATTTGAGACCCTGCTATAGTTTTGTTAGCACGACTTCTCCTACTAAGTGTAAAATTGTGTGGCCACCGGTGTGTGTGTTGGAGAACACCTTCCAAGCAGGCGATCACTGTATAGACATAAGAAATCTGGAGAAAGTTATTACGAAACGTCTAAAAGGTGATTCTTTTTTCTGAGTATTTTATTAACGGGTCCGCTTTGTATTTTATGAAAAGTTAGCTTTCTCAGGGCATTTTAAACAGCACGTCATAAAGCTCAGATCAGAAAAACCTTACTTCGGGATGTGAAGGGATAATGGTTTTTCTCTCGGGTGTACTGCATCTGTAATTGTCTGACTGTTTCTGTGCATTGTCTTGTATATTTCTGCAGGATTTGTAAATATCAACAAACACAAAGTTCATAAAATTTTTGCGAAAGGAGTATTCAGAGGACAGGTTTTAGTTGAATTCCCCCCAACAAAAAGGGGATGGATTGATGCAAATCGTTTGCATCAACACTTTGTCTCCGCTGGAAGATCATTACAAGATTGGGGTCGGATTGGGGTTACTTCGGAGTAAGTTTTTCATTGTTTATACAGTGTCTCTTTGTATTTTTCATATCAATCTATCTTACATTACAGGATAATGGTGCAGTTGATTTGGCAACTGAAGCATTGGTTGCGTAAATGGTTTCAGAGATTTACAAAACTCCACACCAGGAGTGCAAGAAACAATTGGGCTCGTGAAGATAGGTTCGAAGGGTGAGATTTTATCTCGAATTTTCTTTGGGTACCTAGCTACTGCCAGGATAATGCAGCGGATCGATCGTTATAGAAGATGTGTACGTTGGCGATTGGATGAAGTTATCGTTGATGTTGACAAGGACGAAAGCTCTGGCTAAGAAAGGTTATAAGTGTAAGGTGTAAGTTGTTGTATTGTAAACTGCCCAAATTCTTGCCATACTGAGGTTGGAATTATTCGGATTTGCTCTTTACTACCCTTTATTTATATCATCAAATCATGCAAATCAGCAAAGAGACACTTGCGAAGCCTATCGCGATAACCATTGGATGCACTATGACAGCAAAATGGCTGATGAGATCTAGGGGATAGTGAGTGTTTTGATACAAGATATATTTTGTAAGAGTAGTATTTTATACATAAGGACATTTACGTAGATATAAGCTTATACTTAACAGACTATCACGATAACTTTCGGTGAGCTTTGTAGGTAAGGGAATATAAAATCTACAAGCTTCATCAAGTATGATATTTTAATCATTTACGTGCGTTGAACTACTATAAATTCCTTGTCCGTATAGGATTTGTAAAATATTAGATCTGTTTTATAGTATAAAATTACGTTTTCATAACAAATTCATTCATTTTTACACGCTTTTTCTTCACAATCACACTCTTCATTTGGTTGGTTTTTAGAATCTAAATGACAACAGTTGAAGTAATGGTGCGTTTAAGACGATAAACTTTGACAATTGTATGAGAGGGTGATATCTTTTTTGTAATCAATTTCTTTCTGAAAAGCCGATTTGAATTTACCATTGAAATTTGTAACCCTATCGAAGAATCAAACACAAAATTATTTGCTTGGTCATCTAGGAGTTAAAAACAAGAGAAACAAATGATGAGTGTGAAAAGCTGCAACTATCTTCTATATAATTCTCGTTTTTTGCACTTTAAAAAGTAAAACGTTGGAATGTTATTTTTTTGCGAATTAAATACTCTTTTCCTGAATGATGAAATGATAAATTCTCATTTCTTCTAAATTGCTCAAAACTAAAATTGACTTAATTGATGCGGTAAAAAAAATGATAGATGTCTTTACATATCCGAACTTGATTGTAATTGGTTTTGATTATTATTGTTTTTCCTAATTCAAATGTGAATTATAGGTTAGATACATGGTTTTCATTCTGGAACTTACTTTTTTTATATTTATTGAATTGCATGATTAGTTGTCAATGTGTTTTCATCATTTGATCACAGTTGATAAATTTTGAATTAACGTCAATTGAACGTTAATAGTTATTTTTGAAGATTTATATATAGAATGATTGAAGGTTTAGGTTTGTTAGAGAGTTAAATATTTTGAAAAGTTGTATATGGAATAGATAACCATCTTTTCATTATTTAACATAAAAGATTAAGAATTCTTTCAAAATCTAGAAGAAAATTAGTTTAAACCAGAAAAATTACTCAGATCATTTTGTTGTACATTATCTAGAATTTTTAATAAATTCATTTTCAATAATATTTCACTCAAAAACGTATATTTTTTCAAATAATAAAAACATTGACTGAAATATTACAGGATATGTATTACTTTGTGAAAATTCTTTTACATATATAATCTTTACATCCACTTTATAAGTTTATAGTTTATACATCCACTTGCAGTTTAAAATAGGTTGACTAAGTAAGTTCCATTAGCTCACTAGTCTCATTGTATACAAGTGATTGCATCTCTTCTTCATGGCAACATTTTATTCAAACTTGACTTCACAAGCTTGAGCTTCATTATACTAAAAAGTTTCTACTTCTTCTAAGATCAAAGCATCAACATCTTCTTCCTCTCCAAGCATCACTTTATTCAAGCAAAGAGAAATTGGCCCATATTTCATATCTTTCAAGAGCTCTACTAAATATATTTGAAAACTTTAGAAGTAGTTTTAGCTTAATCTTGATTGTTTAGTGCTATAGTCAAAGTCTCACCAACAATTAATTTCTCTTAAATTTCTTGTTGCTCAGAATTTACCTCCTCTTGCATGGGAGTTTCTTATTGTGACATATCATTAAAATATAATTATCAATCTACTACTCAACAATATTGGAAGGGAAATATTCATCCATTTTTGTAGGAGTAACTTGAGTATTCTTCCTCTATTTCAATGCTCTTAGTTTATTGAAAGAAACGTATCTACTAACAATAACCTTACAGGATTTAATAACATGTAATCTTTCATATTCAAGAAAACAACATTTTTTAGATGTAGAATCTAGCTTGGAATTATATTTCTTGGATGTGTGAAAATATTCATTGCAAGCAAAGATTCTAAACCTATTGTAATCAACCATCCGTTTGTGACTTGATTCAACGGTGTTAAAGAATCAATTGCATTTGAAGAAGAAAAGTTTACCAAATAACTTACAGTATTGATGACTTACTTCCAAAGTTAGTATGATAAACAAAATTGATTCAACATACATTGTGACTTTTTCAACATCGTTATGGAGCAACAACTTTTTGAAATAGAGTATAAAATGTGATGAGATGGCAAGTAATACTCTACTCTTGACAATAAGTTCCAAGCTCCGTGGAAGCGTATTCATTGTCATTATCAAATCTTAGATATCTCATCCTTGCATTTAGGATTTTTATATTCTTCTCACTTTGAAACTCCACTCGGTATCTACAAATCCTAAATGCTGCAAAAACTTGAATTATTTTGTGAAAAAGTGTACCTCTATAAACCTTGAATAATCATTTATAAAACAACATAGTACCATTTGTTAGAAAATGAGACAATCAAAGAATATCCCCACACATGGCTAAGAATATAATTAAAAGATTCATTGAAATTATAAATTTCAACACCAAAAGCATCTATTTCGTTTGGATGATCAAAATACAATGTTCATGAAAGTCAAAATCATGTTTTTTTCTATGAAAAAAATTCAATTTCTCTGATGCTATCAATGACATATTTTTTGCTTATGTTGTCTAAAAGCAAGTGTCACACGTTAAATCATCTCCCCTGCGTCATGGTAGCTTGTAGTGTCTTCAAGCACATACCTATTTCTATGTCTGTTATGACGCTTGTGAACTCTGAAAATAATCAATTCATCTCTCTTTATTTGAACTAAGACTCCACTAGCATTTCAAACAAGTACTTTTGTATCCAACATTCTCAATAAAATCAAGTTCTTTCTCATATTAGTTTTGATTCTAACATGAGTCAAAGTACGTATAATGGCATCAAACATTTGAATGTTTACTAATCCAATATTTTTAATTTTACAAGATTTATCATTCCTCGTGAAATTTTTTATGCTTGATCTCAAGCTATAACTAAAAAACTCTTAAATGTAATAGATGTCATAGATACATCTACTATCAAGAATTTAAGAATCATAAAAAAGTATTGATGATGTACAAAAGTCACAATCATATCATCATAGAGGAAATTCATCCATAGTTGAATCTTCATTAAGACTAGAAGTAATCACATTTGGTGATGAATAATCACTTGCCTTTGACTTAGATTTGCAATCTCTCTTCATGTGATCTTGCTTGTCTTGCTTCTATGTCTAAATACATCTTTCTTGTCACCAATTGTATTTTTTTGATCATATGATCTACCACGAGTAACATACAATATTTTCTCCAAAGAACTCGCTGATAAAGCAGGTGCCATCAACTTGCTTTGCAAATCGTCAATAAATAAAGCACTAATCACTTTGTTGAAGGTGATAGAATTTTTATTCTCTTGCATTTGTATAAGTGACTGAAATGATGACGCTAGTGAATTCAATAAATGAACAACTTTGCGCTCATCACTCTCAACTTTTTCAAGAGTAATTGAATTCACAGCAATATTACAAAAATCATCAATATGAATTCAAATTTTGATATACTTTTTGAATACTTCATCTTGAATTCATCAATTTCAAAGAAGTAAGCAAATGATTAAAAGCTCCTTGTGATAAAATTGCTTAGAAGAGTTGTTTCAACAAATCTTCACATTTTGTATGCTCTCCTAACTACTTCAACACGAAGTGTTCAAGTTACATGATAATACTACTCACCGTTTTCTTTTGAAAGTACTTCCAATTTTCTTCATTGATCTTATTCGTCTTGGTACAATATCTTTTCCAATCCAAAAGTGTTCAATACACCTTTGACTTGTCTTTCTCACAAGACATAATTACTTGGTCCATCAGATTTTAGAATGTCAAATTTGCATCCGCCAATCTTTACAAATGTCATGCTTATTTTTCTTCCATCAGATCTTAGATTGTCAAATTTGCATCCGCCAATCTGATCATATGACTTGGTTATTTTTCTTTCATCGTTAGACGCTGTCTGTTGTTGACGGCAGTTTCCAGGTTTCAAAAGCTCTGATAGAAACTTTTGACTCCCCGGTCATATTACACACCTTACAAACTGTAATGTAGGTTCTTTGACTTGTAAACAGTAATTTCAAGGATGTAAATCCTAAAAATTGCTCTATGGCGGCAATCAAGTGCTTCAAACTCCTTCGATATGCAATTTCTTGTATAAATTTTACTTGGTTCAACGAAATCCAACAATTTTGATATCAATTGAAGCTTTTATTTTATCTTCAAAATGAAACCTATCCCATTTTCTACTTTTGGGTATTTGCAACTAAATTGTTATTTGAGTGTTTCAGTCACCATATATCCACTATTGTGCGAATTCATATCGTCATATAACATACATTGTTGACATGTCATACTTACACATATACATATAGAGGACAAGAACATACATATACACAAAGGTATCACAATTGAAAATATCCGTACAAACCCCATTGGCTTTAAACACGAAACTCACATAAAAATCAAGCCAAGTTCACTCCATAGCTTGGAAAATTCAGGCCGAAGCTAACGAGACGCCATAACTAACCTACTGAAAGTTTTTCCCTACGCAAAAGTCTCACTCGAAGAACTAAAAGAATCTTCCTACAACTATACTTTCTAACAAGAGTGGGCACTAACCTAGGGTTAAGTCAACTAGACATTATTCTAGGTTACTAACTATTCACAACACCTATGGACATGACACCACCTTGAACTTTCAAAAGATTCGACCATTTGTAACTTCTTTGCCGCAACTTGACTTGTAGCCTTATCGATACAGAATCAAAAATCTCTTCAAGCTTTTTTCAACACAATGCAGTCTAGGTGCTTACTTAGAATGATCAAGAAATTACAAGCAAAATTAAAATATCGGTTGAACTAAAAGCTTGAACTAGCTTTCATGATAGTTTACATCAAAATACTCTCAAAACTTCAAATGCCCATAACTTTTGACTCACATATCTGTTCTTGACAAAATTTATCTCAAAATTATTGAAGAATCTCAATTTTTACAACATGAATTGACTGTAATCTCAAACAAATACACCACATCATGCGATTAAAACTAAATGTCAAATTGCTACCTTCTTGTCACAAATACATCTACTATCAAAAAACTGCTGATAATTACTCAATGACTCCAAGTTTTGCTCTGAAATCACTTGTCAAGGAGAAACGCGTACTTTCAGTTGCTATGCTAGAGTAGAAAGGATAATGAAGAAGACTTCCTCCATCTCCAAATTAAACCCTTACATTATGTTGACAAGTTGAAACTTATATATGAATAATATTAATGGATATATTAGTTTGGTATCTGATTGGTGTAATTTCTTATAACTTGATGTTGTATTTTCATGCATTATTTCCATCCACTTGTTCCCATTGCTCTACTAATACTAGGTAAAAATACAAATGAAGGAAATTAAAAAATTTACATTTCAAAAAAAGTTCTAATGTGTGTTGCAAAATCATATTCTATCAATAATTAAAGTTTATAATTCATTTATAGAAACCTAACAATAAATGCTTTTTATGCAGTTTGAAAAAATAAATGAATAAAATTCTCTTAATTTTCTCATCATATGTCATTTTTAAAGTCTTTTCTTAGGGAGAGAGCTATAAATAAAATTATTTCTTATAATTGTAGTTACCTACATGGCTCCAGTTTCAGCAATTTGTCAGAAAAATTCTCAATACCAAATAATTTGAAAAAAATACTTAGCACGGATTTAATTACCACCTATCTACATGTTGATTAATTTGTATTATTTATATATTAATTTAGGGAATTGCTAGGCACACAACCCCCTCCTGTGCATACATCCACTCGTCCACAAAGCACATTTTTGCGTCAAAACACCAAAAGCTAAACATTTCTGCGTCGAAACATGCCAACGCTTTGTCAAACAAGGGGGAAAAGCTGTTTACGGGTCCAAACATGCCGGCTCTTCGGCAAACAAGGCGGTAACGCTGCAATTTTTGTTTGGAAGGTACCTAATTGGGAACACATTCGAACGTGGACGGATCCCGTCTAGTGCTGTTGTCAGCTGGCACTCGTCGTCCGCGCGCGCCTCGCGGACGTTCATCTTTAGTGATATGGTGCCTCTGCGAGTGAGACGGCTACTTCTGTCGATCTGAGCGTGCTATTAAGGTCACGGGCGGTCATCCCTCTTGTGGGGGTTGTGTGCCTAGCAATTCCCTTAATTTATACATCCCTCGCTTCAGCTCGCTTCAGCCCTTGTTGAAGGAAAGATTCGAAGCATCATTCAGTTTTGACTTGTTCATTCCTGTGTACTGCACTCAAACCGCTGAGCTTACAGAATCCTGTCCAGCCACTTTCAACTCAGCGTTGTACTGCCCCCAATTCTGCAGTTCCGTCTGTCAAAGCCTTCTGGCTCTAGATTGGCGCTCGTCTGAAAACATGAGCTTACAGTCATCTCGGAGACCAAATGAATATGGTGACGATTTTGGAACTCAAAATTTGATTCTAAACTGAAGTGGTGCGGCTAGAAGTGTAGTGTTCATTATGGAGTGAAGTTTGTGAGCAAGGCAAGGCATTTTCAGCGTAGAAACAAAGTATCGATGCAGCTTCAGTATGTGGCAATCGTCGCTGGAGTTAAGTGTGTACACAGCCATTCCTTCTATCCCTGTCACACGATTGTTGCAAGAGTCCATGGTACGAGAAGTGCTGTCTGCTTTTATGGTCGGTTGTTGATGTCTCAAAAGTGAAGGGTGATATACAGGACGGCACAGTATCACGCAGCTAATAATGCAGTACGAGGGATGGTGCACGACCATATGACGCCTAAGATTCTATGGCCATTACCACCTACGGAATCTGAAGGCTCCATTATCCCTGCCTGCATTATTCTCGCAGGGCGTGTCAGAGTTTTGAAGAGTTGTTGGCTGCGAGGGTCAGGCCCTCAGGGGATGATCATTCGATCGCTCGTCTCGACTAGGTGATGCGCATATGTCTGCAGTCGAATCTTTCCGATGACCATTGAATTGTTCTCGGTGACTCAGCGATGAGCGTTTCTTCGCAGGCCACAATGCCGAAGTATCAGAATCTAATCTCCTGTGCAGAGACTTCGAGTCATGAACTTCGATCCGTTAGCTTGATTCTTCCAATCTTCTTTCTTCACGCTCAAGGTCAGAAGCCCATTTACTCTTTAACAATACTCGCTTCGGACGACAGCGTTAGGTACTGTGGGGATCAACATTGAATTGTGGGTTCTGAGCTTTGTCTCCGACGTGATGCGAGTCCTGACCACTACGATGATAAATATAGTGTTTGTAGGCTGTGAGGCACATCGAGAGCGCAATGTGATTCGGGCTCCATCTCCAGGTTCTCATAAACTCAACTGACTTATTAGCCGAGGGTCAGGGCGAATGACGTCTCCATGACTCCAAACCGAGGATCAGAGATGACATACCGCACTGCGCATAGTACCAAACACGGCACCTTCCCGATACAGGCTCAGAGTCCGGACTGCTAAAAAGATCTGCCTCTTCATGGAACACAGGATAACGATGACCGAGAAGCTCTTCTAATCTTGTTTGGCTTGAAGGGCACACTGGCTACGGCAGAGCTTTGCACACAATGATGAACCCCTTGTCCGGTTGGACGTGTGAAATTTGTCTGGTCAGTAACGACAGACAGGTCTCGGGTTGAATTTCATTTGGCAAACAAGACGTATTTTACATTTATGTAAGGGGACAATGTATCCCAGAGCGTCGATTATAATACAATGGGCTATGTATGGGGAAGCCGGCATACTACGACAGGCTCTGTATTTGTAATGGTGTGCGATGGTGAAGCTCTGTGCACAATTTTCTGAAACCTGCTCGTTTCAATCTTTCCCTCGGAAAGTAGACCCGGAGCATTCTTCTCCAGCCAATTGCCTGCGGCTCACGCGGTCTTCATCCCTGCTCCGGATTGCGTGATCTGCAAGGTGTTTGTGAGGAGAGTGAGGGCAGATGCCAGATGCTCGGCCAGTCTCCCGTGCGGAAGCTCGAGGAGTTCAGAGCAGTGCAAGTCTCCGCTGTGTAACATGGGCGTTGTCAGTGTTGGGAATTCTACACTCGTTCTGAACCTTGGCCTGCAGTAAAATTCAATCTAGTCTTACGGCTGGGCCTGAGAACTTGAGAAGTCAGTGACATGGATCTCATTGAACCCAGGGCGATGAGCTGGGAACCTCTTTGAGTGCTGTGGCTAACCAATCTAGTCCTTCGAACAGTCCCTCTCCGCTGATTGCACAACAGCCCTGGATATTATATTCCTGTCGAATATGATGTAGACCGAGTTTTTCCGAGATCTCCTTAACGGACATGGCTTTGGGAAGATCGCATTTGTTTGCTAGAACGAGAACCTTAACACCCGATAGAATGGGATCCTCCATCAATCTCTGAAGCTCCTCATACGCTTCTCGCATTCTGTCATGATCCGTGCTGTCGACCACAAAAATCAACCCCTGCACAATCCGACACAATTGAGCTGACCGTCAGTCGGAATCTCACCAAAAAACTTCAAGTCGTGGTCTCATTATTCAGCCTCTCACGCTCGCAACCAATTTCGAACGGAAGCAGACCAGACATTGATTCACGAGGAGAGGAGACGAGAGGAGAGCAGAAGTGGTCGATCTCGGAAGCCAACCTGGGCATCATGGAAGTAGTGACACCATAATTGACGAATCTTGGACTGACCGCCAACGTCCCAGACAGTGAAGCTGACATTGTTCTCATGTTGCAGATGCTCTACATTGAAGCCGATCGTGGGGATCGTGGCTACTCTCTCCCCCATCTTTAATTTGTACAGAATGGTCGTTTTACCTGCATTCCATCCCATCCCATCCCATTTTAGTTCCAGATCCTCACTTTCACAACGAGACCTGGCCCCTAACAACAAGCAGGCGAATCGAATCCAAATGCTCGACTGAAACGCTTTCTAACTGTTCTCAAATGCATCCATCGGCCACTCTCCCCGTCCCTTTCTCTTAGCTTCTCTTCCCTTCCCTTCCCTTCGACAGACCCCAGCTGACAAATTGGCGACATCGATAATCGGCTCGAGACGTGGAGGATGCTAAATTCAGAAAAGAGCGGGAGAGGGGCTGATGGGATCGTGACGACAGTCGGGGACGGACCGAGGCAGATTTGGAGGGGGAGAGGGAGGGAGGGAGGGAAGGGGAGGAAGAGGTACCTGCAGCGTCTAGGCCCAACATGAGTAGACGTAAGTTTCTCGCGGACTGAATGGTGAATAGGTTTTGCAGCATGGATCCCAAGGTCTGCCCCATCGAGGTCCAGAGATTCCACACTTTGCCCCAACCGCAGCCGCGTCGTAGATCTACGAACGACCGACTGCTGACCAGGGATCGGTTGCGCGTTTCGAGGTTTCCGCTTGCACTCCTCAAGAAGGGCAGCAGGCGCAGCTCTGATATCAACTTCGCACTAGCGTCGTCACCACCAGCGGAGCGATTTGCCCGCAAAAACATTAGGTCTGCTGGTCTAGGCCCGGGGTCAGAATTGCATCACTCTCACCGCGAGCGCTGCTCCCACAATCAGACAACGAGCCTCCTGCCTCCGATCATAATTGTTCCCCCGATCGCCTTCGATTGGTCGTCTGCTTCCGATTCAGGCCTAGTGCTCTCTGTGGATAGACTCTGGACCACCGAGATCTAACCTGGCCCATTAATAGAATGATACACTTGCCCCCCCTCCCTCCCCCTCCCTCCATCTCCTCTCCTCTCGCTTCTCTCGATGCACGCCCCTCCCTTCCCCTGGTTCCCCCGGCGACCGGATCAACCCGCAGCGGCTTTCCCGGCCGCGGATTCCGGCCGCTCGGACATTCAGAACCCATTCCTCCGTCCCTTCGAATTCTTCCACTCCAAATCAAATCGACCTCCGGAGCCTCCCGCCCCGAAAATTAGCGAAATTCCTCGACGAAGGGGAGGGGCCGAGAATCAAAGAGAGTCTTGGCGGAGAAGTCAATACGGACATGGGCCGGAAAGGAAAGGGAAGGATAGAATAGGATAATTAATCAATTTCGACGCACGAATTAAGAGCGCGACGAATAGCGAGATCCGCGAGCCGTCGCAGTTCGTGGTGGACGCAGCCCTCTGCGCGACCCGACCCGTCTGTCCGCCCTACGTGCTTTCCTTCCGTCCAACGTCACGGGCCCACCACCAGCACCACCAGCACCTCCTCCTCCACCTCCTCCTCCTCCACTGGGCCTCGGGCGCGGCCCCGCGGACCCGCGGACCCCACAGCACCTTTACTTCAAGAGGAGGGCAGAGCAGACCGGGCCGGACTGGAGGTCCGCTGGCGCGGGCCCCGCGGCGGACTCCGGTGACGACCACACGTCAATCCGTCGTCGACAAGCGCCCAGACGCACCCGGCGTGCGCTCCCTTCAACGAACAAACTGGAAGGAAGCCTGAGCGACGGCCGTCGGGTGACGGCGATTTTCAGAGCCTAATGTGCTGTCAAGTCAGTGCTCATCCTTCCACCGAAGAGATCCGCAGTAGGTGACCGGTTCTAACCCCGGTCGATCTTAACGTGCAGCCGCCTGGTTAGTTCAATTAGGGTGAACGCGCTCCCTCCGTCCGTCCGTCCCACGGATTAGGACCACCATCATTCGGTATAAATGCAAATCATATCTCGCGACGGGACGAGGTAGTATCCGCGGGAAGATACTCCCTTCCCCCGGACTGCAAATTCCCAACCGAGGGTCTTCGTCCCCTCGCGCGCCCGGAATTCGCCGCGAATGATTCCCCGAAGGAATGTCGTCGACGCGAAATGCCACACGGCCGCTCGCCTTTTCATTGGCGATGTGAAAAGCCGGTACGGAATCTGATCTCAGCGGATAATAACGAACAAACCAACCGATAACCGAATTTCAAAGCTGTTGGAGGAAATCGCACCATTCGTACGTTACATAAATCGGAAAAGAAGTGTGCAGCCGCGCCTTCCGGATACCGCATAAATGTACGTGTATACCGCGAAATATACCGTATCGGATTATCGCCCGGACCGGGCTGGGCGACACCGCGGGCCCGCCCGCGGCGAAGGTGTAACTTTGCTGCTACGGCGACGGAGTGAGACTCTTTTGCCCTTGGAGGTTAGCGTAGCGTGGTCCGGAAGCCAACGACGTTCATTATTTGGAGATATGTCCGCCCGAGCGCAGAATGCGACACTGACCGACCGACTGACTGGCTGACTGGCTGACTGTGGCCCGGTTGCTGTGAGCGCCGCCACAGCTGGGCCTCCTCGTATTGGCTTCTTGACATCACATGGACGTCCCACGGCCTATGGCAGGCTTCGAGAAAGGCCTGTTTCGGTTACAGGGGGAGAGGGGGGGAGTCATTCGCTCCATTGCTCCCGCATGGGCTTCGGGCCCACCTTCTTCCCTCCCTTCCTCCTGAGCGAAGGGAAGGGAGAGATTATCGACGCCTCGTGGAGAGCTTTGAAAGAAATATAAATTAGAGATTTGGCTCCTGCTGAGCGTACAATTAAATCGTAAAGTGAACGACGTCGATCTTCGACTGATCAGAGTTGCCAGGTGGAGCTGGCTCTTGCACGCGGGTGCCAAAATTATCTCTCCCTCCCTTTCCTTTCCTTTTCTTCCCTTGCCTGGCCTTGCCTGGCCTTGCATTGCATTGCATTGCATTGCCTTGCCTTGCCTACCCTGGGACGCAGCGCAGTCAATCATCGCTAACACAGACCTGTACTTACATCGTTCACGATTGAGCGTGCTGAGAGGGTAGAAAAGTCGACGATCCGCTCCGACCCGGCCCGACCCGACCCTGCGTGTCTGTCCGTCTGCCTGCCTGCGTGCCTGCAGCTAGGAGCTGTCGATTACATCTCTGAGAAGCTGACAGATGGGGCAGATTCTCGCTCGTCTCATCGACAGACTCGCACAGTCTTTTGGACACAGGGAACTCCGAATTCTTATGCTCGGCCTGGACGCAGCAGGTCATTAGCTCTCCTCACTCGAAATCTCCTCACACATGCCGCTGTCCATGCTAACTCTACGTGGTTGAAGATCCTCTCGCGAGAGCTCCCGACGACACTCCCGAATTCGCGTCCCGCTCGGATCAATGGAGATCGAGGCGACCTCTTCGATGAGGAGACGTGAACCTGCGAAGAGAATTTCTCAGAACGGAGTCATGACATGTGACCTGTAACATGCGCGCAGGATTAGCTTCGCATGGATGGATGCCTGCTTGCTTGCTTGCTCAGTCGTGAGGATGTCTCCTCCTTTTGTTGATCAGACTCCAAATCGCCCAGATTAATCCCTAAGAGAGACGACAAAAGTTCAGAATCTTCTCCTCTCTGGGTGATTCTCATCCTATTCACCGTCAGTCCCGGAGTTGCTGTACTTCCTTGCCTGGACGGACCACTTACTCACTCTCCCTCCATTAGAACTCGCACTAGTCTCTGATGGAGAGACCACATTGACGTCAAGCAAGCAGCAGGGCGGGAGAGGGCAGCAGAGGGGAGGGGATGGTGTGGGAGGACGTGCCGTCAATGCCTGCTCCTCGTCGTTAGCGCTATATTGACGTATGTTGGCTCGGCGTGTGTCCCGGATGTGCAGGAAAAACCACTGTACTCTATAAGTTGAAGTTAGGGGAGAAGGTTTGCACCATACCGACGATTGGATTTAACGTCGAGACTGTGCAGTATAAGAATATAAACTTCACCGTCTGGGACGTCGGTGGTCAGCACAAGATCAGACAACTGTGGAAGTACTACTTCAGCGGTATTCAGGTTCGTGTCGTATCATTAGCACAGCCCACCGCCAAATGTCCGGTTCATGATGTTGTTGATGATGTTGATGATAATGATTATACGAGTTGAATATCGGTGGAGGTCGATGCGAATTTTGTGATTCGGTCTCGCTACAGCGTTGAGTCGGTTCTTCAGCCGTACGCTTTTCCTTTTGATGCTCTCACGACGATTGTTCGAGCTGCGGGGACTCGATTGATTAGGCAGCGAGCCTCGTGAGTCCTCTCTTGGGCCGCTCCATAGATTAAGGAACCAGCTCCTGAGGTCGAATATGAACTGCTAGAATCTTCTCACTCTTTATCGCAATATCATCGCTCCTCTTTATCAAAATGAATATATCATCACAGCATATGCTTGTTTCCCAAAATGTTCAATTAAATTCCTGAGAGATGATTATATGCTTTTCATTAAGGCTCCGATTAGATATCAGAATGCTTGTAGCTCGAGTTGCTTTGGGCCTAGGCTAACGTCGTGAGAGTACGTCGACCTCGTGAAGATTATTAGTCGTGGACTTGTTGGGAAGTAGACTCAGAGTTTTTCTTGCCTCAAATAAATTAAATGTCCCTAAGAAATGACTGCGACATCTGTAACTGCTCATAAGATCATCAGCTCGGATACATCCTTCAACATTCAAGCCATTTATGGTGCCATGATACCTGACATCGAATTGAAGTTCCTTTCCCGTGTAGCAGGAAAATGGACATCCTAGGGTTTAAATTATTGCATGAAAATTAACTCTGGTGATGATCTCTCGCGCAGGGATTGATTTTTGTGGTGGACAGCACTGACAAAGAACGGATCACTGAGGCAAGGGACGAACTTCATAACCTGATCAACGATCCTGAGCTTTCTCATGTTACATTATTGGTTCTAGCTAACAAAACAGATCTTCCTCAAACAATGTCTGTCGCTCAGATCACCGATTTGTTACAGCTCCCAAGCCTGAGGCAAACCAAATGGTACATCCAAAGCTGCAGTGCTACTAGTGGTCTGGGCCTTTATGAAGGTTTGGATTGGCTGGGTCAAGAACTCAAGAAGGTGGGAAGCTGACGATCCAGTGTACCTCTACTTCCAGAGGATTCTCCATCAAAACACTTTTCAATGATCGATGATTAGCCTGCATATGGTAATGGAACTGCTACGATGAGATGTGTATTGCGACACTGCAGGAATGGCGGCTTAATCACTTAAGGACATGCCTTCTTGGAGATTTTTTCGAGTGATTGAATCGCGGGTCTCCAACCCACTACTTTTCAGTGTGCTTACCTGCAGATACAAGTAGAATATTGTTTTGTGATAATCGACGAGAGTGCAGGAAGCTCCATTCGGTTCAAGAGATACTTATACGTTCGAAGATCGCACTTTTTCTGGAGAGGTGTGGCTCACCTTTCATCACTGAGGCTTGTTCAAGTAGCGTGTGGCAAAGTCTTCTAAACCCCAACCATGATTCAATCTGAGTCGTGGTTGAACACAGTTTCGAGCCTTTCTTGCTGTCCAGTGGAGCTTAGGATTACGTGGTTGAATTAGAAGTCCTCGAATTGCAAAGTGTACATTGCTTTAGCTGGTGGGTGTCCATCTTAGCTGTGATGGAAAAAGTGTGATGATCATCCCAAATTGATCATGAAAAAACATATGTGTTCGCTGAAAGAAGACTTCGGTCTGAAATCTGAAATTTGTCTCAATAATTTCTTTGGTCTCTTATTTGGACGTGATAAACTACTGAAGACTTGATAAAAGTTCTCAGTGTTGAAGTTCATAGACAATTTCGGTTCCCAAGTGTATATGAATTCATTCATGTTCCCAGACTGAGTGACAACTACTTTGTAGAATTTGATACGGTTCTATTCATCGAATTCCGCTGCCGAGGGCCGAATTATTAACTTCAGCAGTTCAGCACATTCCACAGTTCAGAAGTCAAAAGTCTCCCAACCTTCGAACGTTTCACTTCTGATTGGGGTTAATACGATTTACAAGTGATCACGATGCGGAATACACCAACTCTCTTTTGGGGTTCTAATAGTAGATGAATCCAGGATCCAAGCGGTTTCCGTACATTTTAGCGCGCAGACAAGGCTTTTTTGTGGCGAGCATATCCGAAGTAAACTTTTTCCGAAATTCTTCGGAGCTAGTACTGTGAAGACAAACATGAAAAAGACGAGAGGAATAGCACGCAAAAACATGTGAGCCTTGGTGCATTCCAATCACGTGGGGCAATTTTTGTCATATCCTCCGAGAAAGTCCTATTGATACGAATGAGCGGTAATTTGTGTCGATAGTATATACACCCTCAATACAAAGATTTGATACAAACGCCACAAACTCTTCTGAACCACTACCAAGAAATGTATGAAGGATGGAAAACAAATGTCATAGGACTGACCTGTTTTTATCCAAGCCATAAGACATTGAGAAACTTCGAAATGAACGAGGCAAAATCGGTCTGTGAAATCTGTGCAAAATCTACTAGTGTCCACTTGTAAGCCGTTCGGATTAAAGCAGACTCCGGGTTCTTGCCAACCTCTCGCACGAATGCCAAGTACCCTGACTTCATATGGTCTCCCCAAAGAACGAGGTCCAACAAGTTATCAAGCATGAAATTTTCGTTGGTTACTTGTGGCTGGACTCTTCTGCAAATGTTGGCAAACGATAAATAATAGCCAACTTTTATAATGAATTTTTCACCCAAAGCAGGAAAGGTAGAGAATGAACGAAATGCGATTATGAGTTACACTCGATGAGTAGGTAAATGTAATCTATGCCAGTTTCAAATCTAATGCTGGCGCTAAAAATGATGAGCTCTGGCATAGAAGTTGGATTCTCACCGTCATGATCGCTTACTTATACACAAATTGTTGTTCCATCGTATCCTTCTTATACAACAAATGCGTGACATGTGTCTCAACCAACTTGAGCGATAAAGCTCCTCTTCGAGATAACAGTCAATCGATATCGTATGAACTATCATATTTTTTTACTCCTGAGGACCAGCGATGTGCTCTTAATTTGTAGCTAGCTGCACTGAAGATATAACTGGAGTCCACTCTTGCAATAAATTGAGGTAGGTACATTATTGTACCGTCCAAATCCGAGCTGGATTTCGTATTTCTTTCAAACCATGCTCTAAGTGCTCTCTGTGATCAACAATCCGATAGATTGCTAGGCATATCAAACTGATCCCAGTACGTTCTTTTAGCTTGTATGGTTCCACTTAATTAAAGACTGGAGTTGTAGTCGTCAAAAAATGAATTTGAGTCATACACCGTAGAACTGTCCGACACAGCTCGATCTCCGGTTTCTTTCGTAATATGCTTTTCCTGATCATCGTTCTGTTACTAAGCATATCATACTTATCCCAATCCGTAAGTATCCACATCAGTTGATTCGAATGCCTCCAGGAGATAAAGGTCCACAAATTGTCTTTCCTGTCACCAACAAATGCTAGAGAAACAAGAGAAAAGTAGTCCTTAGGCTAGACATTACTCTATAAGAAAAGGGCTCCGAGGTTTCATGCTAGCTACTAGCTAGAATCAGGTCAAACGATCCCATAGCCTCAATGATATGTATGGTTTCATGCAAAGACTTCGCGGGTTCAGAGTTTATCTGGTTGTGACGAGTGTTGACGCACAGGACAAGGGATGCTACCTCACTCGGATGGACACGTCTGGCATCTGGCATGTTAAACATCCCCACTAGGTGGTACAGGTAAACTGCAGTCGCAGCTGTAGGGCACTTGCTCCATGCTCTGCAATGACAATAAACTACATCTGGTTCCGTCTGTCGTCTTTCACTGTCGCTTCCCCCGTGCGATGCAATCGCTGTGAGACTCACGTTTGCAATTATCAGCCTGCAGCAGAATCAGCTCCTGTTATGGTTTGAGCGGATTCAACCTTCAGTGCAAGGCGGTAGTACAAGATGATTCCCGCGTGCATTTTCTCAGCTCAGTACATGAACGTTTTCCTGTGACAGCTTTTTGGACGGTTATACTTCGACCAAAAATTGCGCAAGAGCATCAAGATTAACGAAGAACATCTGGATCCATTCGGAGATACGGATCACTGGAGTGCATGAATTACAAACGATGACGACTGATTTTTTGCCTGTGAGAAAGTCAAGTTTGCCTGCCTATTCCTGTGCAGGTCCCAGTTCCCAGTTCCCAGTTTTCTATCGACCCTCGTGTTTCAGAAATTTTAAGCTCATCAAATGCTCTTTTTGAATGTTAGGTGACAATGTATACTCCTGTTCGAAGTCAAGGCTGACGAATCATCATACTCTCTGACCCAAATATCGCCACGAATGATTCAAAGTCGAGTTCATTCTAACGCTTCTGGCAGACTCAGAGTTCACTTTCTTGTGCTAAGTCTATGATGGAGGGTTCAAAGCTCACGATCATTCATTCATTCGACATGAATAGGATATTCTCTCTCTCTCTCTCTCTCTCTCTCTCTCTCTCTCTCTCAGCCAGCTCTGATAACCTCCACGAAGATCTGTCCGGAAAAATCTCAGTCACCACGTGTGGAAGCTCGAGGCTCATGCATCGCTTCAACAACAGTGTAGACCTGCTTTGTTAGTGGTCACAGGAAGGTACGCAAGCGTCAACTAAAAAAATACAATGTGTTTCATTTGCTTCCTCAGTGCCTCCGTTCCACCGTTACAAACAAATCTTGACATATAACTCTGGTCAGCAGCATTGAATTCCTTGCCCGTAGATCCACTTTCTAGTCTGCAGAATGCATCTAAATAGTCCTGCCAATTCTGGACTGGACATCAGTTGACGTCATTGACTATTCCCATGAAGTGTGCGCTCATTACTACCACTCGCTGACCAGGATGACCATTCATATTACGCATGTAGGCTTTTGCTTTCAACTTAAATCTTGATCCGATTTCAATCTCGCTTGAAACTTTGCGACCTACGGTCGACGGGAATGTGGTCCCAAGTCTGATAAATCTGCTCGGTCGGGTCCCAGATAGTTCTTGGCATCGGTTACGATCTGCATGCACAACCCGAAAATTTATTGCTGAAACGAACGAACATGGCACTGAGTCTGAGTGGAGACGAGGGTATAGGACGAAATCTTCTCATGCAATCTCCGGAATGTAGATATTATACGATCCATCCATCGCTGGTTGGATGGCATTTGCGTCATTTACATAGAAGCTGCCTTACTCACAGGTCTCAACATCCTACGTCCTTCACGCAAGCTGGAAGAGCATCGACTCATGATCATAAAACGGCTCAAACCCCTCAAAACATTGTGATGATCTTCGTGTCTTCTGGGTAACTTTGTGCTCGTACAGTCTGCAGTTTTGTGGAAGTCATTGAAAGAAAGGAGAACCAACTATATTCATGAAGAAATGTCATCGAAGTCTTGCTGGTCAAACATGCTCTGGCAGAAAGGGAACCAATCCACTGAAGGATGATGATTAGGCTAGAATTGAGTCTGATAGAATTATTGTTACATGTGACATCGGTCCAAGAGTCAACATATGACCCCATGATAAGAACGAAATAACAACGAGAAGAAATATTGCGGACATGGAATCTTGAGTAGTTTTCGAAGTTCACTGAAGAGTCTCGTCCAGACACGAAGGAACGAACACGATCGTTTGTTTACGTTTCGGTCAGCTGATAAGACTGAACTTGTCTCCTCTCCTCTCCTCTCCATTCCACATTTATCATCACCGAAGGTGATTGGAATGAGAGTGTTCGGTTCCTCTCATAACTTTAAAAGGTTGAAACTGATTCCAATGAACTCGTCTCGTCTGTAGTGAAAATCGGTTCATCATAGAAAGTACAGATCTTCTAATGTCATAAAATCCTTTGCAATTTTCTTATTCTTATTGCTCTGTTTGACCTCGTGTGATATCGTCTGTTACCACCATTGTTACCTAATACGTACTTGTTCCTGAAATTAGGTACCTGATCTGTACTTGTTGTCCTTCTCTGTTTGAGGATAGCAATGAAACAGAGAAAGTAAGAACTTATTGTCTGGACATTGATCCTCTAACCAGCAAACAGAGCTTGAAATTGATCCGAACCTTCTGCAGGCTTCGTACATACCATACCATACCATACCAGTCACCAGTATATGGAAAACGGTCTGATCCAGACACGAACGAAGGGTGTCACATGATGAAGCTTGGTAGAGCCTTGATCATCATCATCATCATGGAAATTGTGTTCGTTAGTTCTGAATGCTTGCTGTTTTTTCGGACAGATGGAAGAAATCTAAGCGGATGTACTTTCACGACTGATAATGTACCGACCTTGAAGTACAAACCGGTAAGTGCCCAGAAGGGACAGACAGTTCAGTTCAAAGCATGTTACTTAGCAACAGCGCACGAACATTAGGCAAGAGAGTAGGACGCAAATCTCACTGATCACAACTAAAATACAAAATTAAATGCAAACGCAAGAATTATGACAATAACGCAAAGAATAAACGCAAGTTTACTTCTATTTCACATGCAGTAGATTTTCTAGTGGTGGAATTTGCAAAGCTGTTGTAAGAAAAAGCATGTTTTTGAAAACCCCGTAAATATATTTGTTGCGCAAAATTTTCTTCATTTTTCTACAGTTATGTCTATAGTCCTAGTCCATACTGAACTGGACTGAGGGTCCACGGTCTTTTGAATTATGACACACCTTTTCTTGTAAGTGCTGTTCTGTTAATGAACTTTGGATATTTCAA